ATCTGTCTACTTTTTCGGGAGCAGGAGCGGCGGCTTCCTGGTTTCTTAAAAAAACAGTGCATCCCCTTAGGATTACAAATACAGTATATATATATATATATATATATTCTAATCTCTCTCTCTCTCTCCCTCCCTCCCTCTCCCTCTCTCCCTCGATGAATATAGATAGATAGGTTGAGAGAGAGAGAGAGATTAGAAAACAAAGGTTCCTAGGAAAATGAAGATTACTACTTGCTTAAATATTTTCTATGGCTTAGAAACTTAATACCTTAGTTTAGTATAATTTTTCAGTGCATACACATTTAGAGATGTACGGGGTAACAAGACTTTTTATAGTGAAACTTCATAAAAAGTGAAAAATTCATGGGGCAATGGCTAATCAAACTAATCAACTAGGAAATTGAAAGTACAGAGGCCAACTCTTTTCCTCAATTACGAAAAATGTGATAATAAAAATTGAAAATCATAAGTTTATAATCATAGTTGGTGGTTATAATAGTAGTTGTTGGCTATAAAAGCCCTACGTTGGCTATAAAAGCCATACGTTCTTGCTATAAAGGTTATAGTTGGATGCAAATTTTGTAGTTGATGGCTACAATAGCCATAAATGACTAAAAAACCTCTAGTTGGTGGTCATAACAACCGTAATTTCTACAACAATTATTGATGGTTGTTGACTGTAATCTTTGTTGGTTAGCTGCAATCTCGGGTGACCAGTGATAATTGCCACACGTGAAATCTTAATGATGACAACCAAGTTCCTCTCTTCTTTTTGATGCAGCAGTTTTTTAGGCTCTTCTGGAAGACCTGTTTTGGTGATATGCATATGTGACAGACACGGGCTTGGTATTAGTTGGTTAAACAAAATCAAAAACCTTTTTTTTTTACAAGGTATACCGTTTTCTTATTGTGACAAATTTGTAGTGACAGATTTTTTGGTTAGTATACTGAGTTTTTGAGACCTTATGTCTACACAAAACTGCAATTACTTACTTCTTTTTATCAATTTTTACTTATTTATTTTGCACAGTTCTTATTTATTTTTGTTCCTTGTATTTTTTATATTGATTGTTTAGGCTTTTTACGTTATTCGAATGTGTTTTTTTTTCCAAGTGCATTAAATTTATTTTGTTTGGTGGGTTTGAGAGTTTTGATGAGACGGTTAACCTTATGGGTTCTTTTGGATGGCTTGTTAGTCATTGTTGGTTGGTGTCACATGTGAAATTCTAATGCAGGCAACCAAGTTCCTCTCTTCTTTTCGATGATATGATTTTTGAGGATCTTCTGGATGACCTTTTTTGGTCATATGCATCTGTGACACACACGAGCTTTGTTTTACGTGGGTTAAAGGCAACCAACAACCCTATTTTTTACAAGGTCTGTTATCCTTTTTTGGTGACATACTCGTTGGTTGGTATACTGAATTTTCTAAGACTTCATGCGAGCAAAAAACTGTAATTAATTTTTTTAGCAATTTCAACTTATGTTATGACTAATAGATTGTCTTTTGTAGCATTTAGAAAAGACGAGCTCCAGGATTTCAGGGACCTCCCGACGATTTTTCTGTCACTGCGGACAGCAGACTTCCTTACTGACGTCACATCAGACACAGCTACAGAAGACCATTCCAAAAGGTGCCTACAAAGAATCACGAAGAAGTGTGACTTCTTCCAGTAGGCAGACAATCTGACAGATTTCACTGTCAACAGTGATCATGAATGGATTCTATCTCTGGAGAATGGCGAAGATCGTGACATATGTCGTTTGCATTTTGAAAATAACATCATCATATTAAATGTAACTTTAGTACATTTTTTCTTTTTTTAGCAATCTTGATGTGTATGGGTTAATTTTTGTACTGTTTTGAATTGAATTTTTGTATCTCAAGTATTAAATATATTGTTATGACAGTGTTGTTAAGAACAACATTGCTACACAAAGGCAAAAATGTAATTTGTCCATAAACAACAACCACACATTTATTTTCAAACTGCAACAAACAAACAGCCAGCTAGCTTATCTGTTGCAGCTTCTGCGCAACAATTTATTGATAAGCTGCAGCTGCCCCAAACAAACCCTTAGTTATCTTCTTTTTAATTTTCTTCATCCAGGTAATATTTTATTCATCTTTAAAAAATATTTAATTAGCATGTGACTTATTCGTCGTCAGAACATGTGTTTAAAGACATATTTTGATATAATATAAAACAGTCTCTTCAAAATTTTATTTAGTTCTCCATTATAACTTCATAAAACGACTAAATTTATGATTAAGGATAGAAAACTTGAAGCGATGTTCGGCTGAAATTTAGATTTACTTTAAATAGGATTTATCAAATCCACACTACGACGACTCTGTTCGCAAACGACGGCGGAATAAATCGCCTCGTGATCGAATTCAATAAATTCAGATTTAAGTTGTATAAGTGATGAAATGAGCGAAGAAAAGACAGAATACGAGAAAATTAGATTTAACAGACTGCTGGATTTAATTTTTATTTTATTTTTTTTATGTTTGGCTAGATTTATGTTAAATCATGACTAAATAATTAATAGGATGCTACCAAACACTTATTACCCATGTCTTTTGAAGTAATCTTTATTTGATTTTTTTCAATTGAGCTTCACTATCACCATTCTTGCTTGCTAAGCAATGAAAACGCAAATGAAAGTAATGATAGCAATGAAGCAAACTAAAGTCTAGGGCATAATATTATTTTTCCTATACAATGGAAAGCATAGCTGGACATTTCGGTATGAAATATTCTTCATATATACTCCAATAAAATAAATGGCCACCATCATTCTCAAGTTATAATTAACATAAGGCATATAAAGTCAAATTTAACAAGGAAATTTTTGATAAAAAGTTTAGCTTTTGTTTTTGGCATCACATATTTTATTAGGTTTCTTCCAATTTACTTTTCATAAAATAAATCTTAAAAAAAAATTTTAGCTCGCTATTATCGTAACGATTGATTCAACATAAAATCCAACAAGATCTTCGTCTTCAAATATCTCATTATTAATTCGTTTGAGTAAAAAACATATTCGTGACATAATGATTGAGGGTGTAATCTCTCAACATAAGTTCACAAATTTGAATTGTCCATATTACTCTTTGTGCTTAACTTTTTTTTTTTTTTTAAAGAAAATGTTTACGCAAGTTAAAGGGTTATTATGAAAATAAGAACATTCGAAGGGATTAATTCGCTTAGAAATCTTATTAGGTTTCTTCCAATATACTTTTCATAGAATAAATTCTAAAAAAAATTATTGGCTAACTAATATCATAACAATTGATTCAACGCAAAATCTAACAAAATCTTGGTCTTCAAATTTCTCATTATTGATTTGTAAATACATATTCGTGTCATAGTGATTGAGGGTGTAATCTCTAAACTTGAGGTCAAAATTCGAATCGTACACATTACCCTTTTGCTCACCTTTGAAAAAAAATATTTACACAATTTAAAGAGTTATTGTATAAATAAGAACATTCGAAGGGATTAACTCGCTGATTTCTTCCAATATACTTTTCATAAAATAAATCCTAAAAATAAATTATTGGCTCACTATTATCATAACAATTGATTCAACACAAAATCTAACAAAATCTTGGTCTTCAAATTTCTCATCATTAATTCTTTTTTGTAAATACATATTTGTGGCATAGAGGGTGAGAATTTAATGGTATGTTTGAGGCAGCTGCATCTTATTAAATAATCTGTTGATAAGCTGATTAAAAATAATTTGTTGATAAACTAGGTGCGGTGACTATAATAAATTTTTATTTTTTTGGAAAAGCCAGCTGCCAGAAAGCTGCCACCACACATAAATAGTTGCGTGTGAAAATGATGTTTTTCAGCTTTTTGAAAATGCATAAACTGCGAAAACGCAGTTTACCCAAACAGGACAGGTGCGTTTTCAAAACACCACAGAAGTACAACACCAAATAGGCTGCCCCAAACGGGCCCTTAATCTCTCAACATGAGGTAAAAAATTCGTATCGTACATAATTTTATGCTCACATTTTGAATAAAAAAATTGTTTACGCAAGTTAAAGGCTTAGCGTAAAAATAAGAACATTCGAAGAAATTAATTAGCTTAGAAATTTTATTAGATTTCTTCCAATATACTTCTCATAAAGTAAATCTTAAAAAAATATTATTGGCTTACTGTTATCGTAACAATTTATTCAACATAAAATCCAACAAGACCTTAAGTCTTCAAATTTCTCATTATTAATTTGTTTGTGTAAATATATATGTGATATAGTGATTGAGAGTGTAATATATTATCTTAAGAGAAATATTTGCGTATGTAAGACGTACGCAGAGCTGCGTACGTCTGGTAGGTTACAGGAAGAGTCTGTAACCTACATGTAACTTACCTGTAACTTGTAAGTTTCGCGGTTCTGTTTTCATATATTTCTAAGTTACAGACATGTTATAGAGAATAAAAATCTTAAGCACGCAAATATTTATCATGTTAGAGATCGTAAAGTACAAATTACACTGAACTCAATTTAAAAAAAATAAAAAAAATAAATAATCGTTTGCGCAATTCCGCGAGGGCGCCAACCAAAATCCGCCAAAATACATCACCATCCAGAACTATGGCTTCGGTACTCCATTTTTTCTTCTGCACAAAAAAAATGTTCGGAAACAAGTTCTTGGTGCGAGCCCACCTCCCTTCACCATCATTCCATCCATTTCGCCTCCTCCAATTATCAGTCTCCGATTCCTCCTCCTCAATCGAGATCGAAACGCTCTGCTGGAAACTCTCACGGCGATGGCGCCTCGCCTGCTTTCATCCGTCGCCGTCCTCCGTCTTCATCATCTACCAAGTGAATCGCCATTAGATTTTTGCTCGATCTCCATCCGCGTACTAACTCCATTTCATCCGTATCCTGAATCGCAGAGATGTCAGAATGAAGAGGCAGCCAGAGTTGTAGAGGAGCTTGCCAAAAGCATGGCCATCTGCAAGGTGAGTTTCTCTGCCTTATCCATAGTGTTTCATGGCGAATATTGTTTGTTTACGAAGTGTGAGTCGATTGAGGTCCGGGCTTATTGTTGGGGTTCTTTTGCAAGCTCGGGGAGGAAGAAGAGGTGAGATCTGCAATCTTGATCGCCAGGGCAGTCGAATGTTGGTTTAGATCATTAATGATGGAGAAGAGCTGGAGATGCATTGGAGAGAGTACATTTGTGGACTCTACTTTTGCTGTTGACGAAGAAAAAAAATATTTCCATGCGCTTAATGCGGTAGTATATATTTGACATTTTCAGTAAAATGACTGTTCCGTCAGTGTACTGTCTATTGTAGCAATAGTGATGCAATGTTGATATTCTTATTGATTTAAATGCTGAACCATGAGGAAATTGTTCGCTGTTAAGCTAGATTTCTTTGTAAGTAACGCATTAGTCCTTATATAATGTGCACATACTTCTACTATTTTGAAACTTGAAACTATTCTGATGCTAACTAAAACAAAATGATTTGTGCTTGCAGATATTCCTACTGGAAATGAATTTGAAGAACACGTGAAGTAAATAGCAAAGAGATCAAGAATAGAACAAGCCATTAAAATTTACAAGGATCAACAATACCATAGAAGAGGAATGGAATCAATCCACTATAAGAAACCATAAAAATTTACAAAGGATTAAGATTGAAGAACTATTTTTTTTCGCAAACATACACAAGATTTTATATGCCCATAAATAGATGCGCCAAACTCTTTAGTAAAACCCTTAGGATCAAGTTGTAATATAATATCAAATATTTCATAAGCAAGGTCGAAATTAATATAATTCAAAGTTCAAACCAACCTTATTGGCCAAGAAGCATAAGATTAAGGAACTCTTCAGATTCACCATGAAATTGAGCTAGTCAGAATCATCGAGAATTTTCCAGAATCACACTTTTCAGCTCACAAATAACTTTTTAGAATCATATTGAAGTTGTCAGAGTCATGAAGAGCTTTTCAGAATCATACTCATAATTATATTGAACTCGCCAAAATCATATTAAACGTGTTTGGAATCATTGTGAACTTGGCCAAAGTCTAGTTAGATGAGCATTCAAGGAACAATCTAACGATAATTCACCTCAACTAAACAAGAAAATTAGCTAAACCTCAAAACTTACTTGTTAGTACTCAGGAAATTTGAATGTAGTTGGAAAGCATTGATTTAGTACACATCCTTTTGTTACGTGCATTTTGCTTATGTAACTCCAAATGTAACATGTGACACATTGATTCAAATTTATAAATAAGGGTCTGGGGAGATAGCAGGGACATAAAGTCACTGTTACTCAAATATAACTTTTAGCAATTTAATAGAAAAACTCAAAGCTTCTCTCTTGATTTTCTAAGTTTCCTTCTTTTTTTTATCTCCCTATTTTTGTTTTATGAGCCTAATGTGTCTTGTTTGTAAGGTTCTAGCATTACGCATGGATAAATGTTGATCAAACACATAATATCTTCTAGACATAAAATAAATCATATTTAAATGTATTAAATAAATATATCGTGAGGATCATTATACATATTCTCCTTAAAGACAACACCTTTCATCGTTGTCATTAAACTATGTGTGAATGATATTATACAATGCTTATAATTGTATAGTTTGAGATGCTATTCAAGTTTCGGTGCACATGTATGATTTTAAAGCTTATGCCTCATGAGAGATTGATGGGAAGAATGCCGACATGCTTTGAAGCACCTATATTGAGGCATATGCCTCAGTTTCTAATGTTGGAAAGTGTTGAGCTTTTTTAATTTAAAAGTTTGAAGCCAAGTTAGCATTATAAGTTATAAGTAAATCTATATTATTAAAAAAATAATAATAATACAAAACTCATGAACCTCAACTCACAAATGGAAGAATTAGGAGAAAACACAAGAGAAAGCCACCCACACATGGAGTTGCAAACATTGCTTCGCCGCTGTCCTATATAGTTGTTGTTCTAATTGCTGTTTGTTCCACTTCTCGTTTGCAGTCACCAATGTCGTGCAACCACTGGCATCCCTTTTGCTTCCTAATTTATAAACTTCTCTCTCTCTTTTTTTTCTTACTAATTCTATTTTCTTTTTTCTTCTCACTTCTATATTTTCTATTTTAGATGAGTTTTTTAGCTTAGGGTGATGTTACACCTCCAGCGGATAAATAAAATCAGCCTACTAAACCTATTACAAGAGCAAAGACAAAGGCCCAAGCTAGTGCAAGTTCATGAACAAGAGCACATTTCTAAATCCATTTTACGGTCCCTTTTTTAACTTATTTAAATGTAATTTCTTTCCTTTACAAATTTTTAACCCCTTGGAAACATTGATGGCCGACCATTGTAATGCGAGTGTGGATAATTGGAGAAATAAGTGTGTGAAACTCTCCTTATCTATTAGTTAGCTATTGCCCTCTTCCTCATGTTTTGTCTTCAAAATAAAGAAACTCAAGGGTTATTTGTTGCCTATGAATAAGTCTTGATATGTGAAATATCTAGTGTTGAATGATATATTTTGGTGAATAACTAATCTTTATTTCCTTGTTGGTTGATGCCTTTAAGAGGTGATTTTCTCTTTGGTGAAATAAGATGGTTATTATTATCGTTGTTAACTTATTTTTTTTTTCATTTGTTAATTGATATGCTTAACCTCATAGGAGAGAGTATCTTAGATAGGTTGTGATTAGTATATATATGAACTAGTCTAGGTTAGATTGAATTATCTTCTTATATAGTTTTTTCTAAGGAGGTTTCATTATGTCTGAATTTTTTTTTACAATTGAAATTTGAAGCCATCAATTATTTTTAGATTGCAGATGAGCTTAATTTTGTAGTTACATTTCATTTTTTAATTATGTTTAGCTTTGCATTCAAATGCCAATGAATTTTTTTATATTAAGAGATAATTATGGAAGCTTCTCCAAATATGTGGAAATTGAACAAAGGGTAAAGAACAACGAAATCAGGATGCCTATGGCTAAAAAGAAATCTGAAAGTCTGGATACAAAATGTAATAGAGATATGGGTAAGTTAAAAGAGATGACTTGCCAATGAAAGGCCTCAGGCTTCAAATGGATTAACATTGAAATCTTGGCGGAGGGTCCTTTTATTATGCTCCTTTGTTGACAAATGACCCTATTGGAGATACACATTAGAGAAGACCTTCATCTACTTTAGAAGTGCTTTATGATGTGCCTTGTAAGACCTATTGTTTTAGAAAATCTGGTGAACCTCCTCAATCTATTATATTTCAAGATGCTGAAAAGGTTCTTAGAATCAGTTCATATGCTTACCATTCCTTAACCTGATTAGGCTAGAAACCTCAAGAACATATAGATTGTGATCATTATTATTTTATAGACCGTAAAACCCGCAAGAGCTTAAGAATTAATCATTCAGAGATGATCATGATTGAAGACACTACAAGCATCATAAAAGAGATCATTGGGGGCTTGACATGATTGGTTTCATTTTGAATCTAAGGCAATAAAGAAAACTAAAGTTGAGGCCTTCACTTTTGATGGTAGACATGATCCAAATATTTATTTGTATTAGATATCTAAATTTAAAACCATTTACATTGGTAATCCATGTGTGACCAAGTGTGTGTTTGATATGCTAGAAGATTAAATTGGTTTACTAAACTATTTTAGTTTCAATGTTCAATGTGAAAGAGATTTTTGTAGAATCTCTTACTTGAATTTGGGCTAACATGAAAGTTAGATTAAGAAAGAAAATTTTGCTTAAATATTATGAGTCGAAAATAGTTAAATAATTGATCAATCTGGGATAAGATGATTGATTTTTTGATGAATATTTGAATGAATTCCATGTGTGATTTGTAAGAAGAAATATGGGTAGTAATATCTGGATTTGTAAATAATATCTGCATTGAGATTAAGACGGAATTAACAATTTTTTGAACCATGAAGTATTGAAGAAGCTCATTATAAAGCCTTAGAAGCTGAACAATAGTTTTATATTTCCTCCAAAAACAATGCCAATCAAATTTTCATCGCTAGAATTGGCCCATCTAGCACTATTAAGCCAAACATCATGTGTTTCCCGGTATATCTTACACCTTCACCTTCTAGAAATCCAAACAATAAAAATGATTAATGCACTAGTATTGAGGTTGTTTGTTACTGATGTCAAAGAAAATTTGACATAGGCTTTTGATGTGATTAGAAAATGTGGTGCTTTTGGGCAACAATCTGATGAACTTCCGAATTCTGTTGTTAAAATATTGAAATTTGAGGAAAACAGCTCTTTTCTGTTGATGACTTCAACAGAAACTTAAAAATAAATAAAGAAATTATAATCTATCATGTTTTGTCACAAGCTTATAAATGATTCTAAATTTTTATTGATACTGTAACTAAATTTGAAATTTTATAATAACTCATAGAATTTGATTTCAATGAATGTATTTATTAGCCTCTTATTCATGATTTGGACCATCCTATAACTTCTTGTTGCATTTCTATTTTTCAACTTTCTAGAAACTATGAATATCAAATGCTTATAGCACTTTTTGGTGATGACTTGAATCCATATATTTTAATCTAGTTAAGTTTAATTTAAATGTTCTAATCTAAAATGATGCCCTGTTGGTTTGATATGGTGCCTAGATGAGATCAACATGTCATAGACTTGTTTTATGAATTCACACGTCTTGATATGGTGCCTAGATGAGATCAACATGTCATAGACTTGTTTTATGAATTCGCACGTCCGTCAAGTGAAATAAAAAATGCTACTTACTGTCTACGTCACTCTTTAAAAAAGCTGGCTGATCATCTTTTTTTTCTATTCAATTAATAATGCATAAACATTACTTTGATTATTCAAACATTTTCATTATTGTTCCCAGATATAATGATAAGTTTTATATCTTGCAATTGTAGAGAGTGCAATCAGAAATAGATGGCATTGTTTTCATTGTTTCGCCTGATGTAATTTGGTTTATCAGGGATAAGGTATCCTGCTCGGTCCTGTTATCTTCTAAAGTCAAATAATGTCAATTCTTAATTCATCAAATTGGCATACTATTTTAGATCACAGATTTAGTTTCTTCCTGGACTTTGCAAAGTTTCCATGATGGCAATGTAGCACTTGTGGAGAAAGATAGACACTTTACTGCTTGTGTTACTCTTCCTTCTCTTCACAGTGGACACATCTTAGGTAAAAAAGATTTTATCTTTCGCAGGCCTTTTGCTTGTTTATCATCCCTAATGTTTTCTAGTTGATTGTTGATAGGACTGAGCTTACTGAACCCTGTTGGAGAGAAATTCAAACTTTTGGAAGAACTTTGGAAGTTTAAGGTATTAAGATAGATCTTGTACTCATTTTTCCTCCCTGAGTTCATAATAAGTTCTTTTTCCCATAGCCTCTTTTAGACATTACTATTTAAATCTTTTTTTCAGCCTTGCTGCCTGGACTATAATATTTTAAGTTGGCTATTTTTCTTATCATTCATGCCTTGCAGCATGGTCTATCTTTATTGAGTGACTACTATGTCAATGTCCACTTCAGCTATGGAGGCCAAGAAAGCAAGACATGGTCGTCTTTTTTGAAAGGATTTGCACCTTTGAGAAATCCTTATGTTAGTTATTTCTGATCAATATCAGTTCTCATTTCCAGTTTGGAGAGTCTAAATTTCAGCTATATACAGGTTACCCTCAGCTTTTGTTCTTCGAGGTTCAGGGTTGTGTCCGCCTCCACAGACAGTTAGATATTCAATGGCACTAAATGCTTTGAACTCTTTTATTAATACCATAGGATGTGAGTACATTTTATGCCTCTCTGCACAAATGCAATTCTTTATGCATGGATGATTTTTTTTTTCGGGAGCAGTACAATCTACATGTAAGTGAATACTTAACTTTTGAATATTGGTGTTGATATTTTTATCTAGATCTAATTCAACAAGCCTTTTATGGTAAAATCTGTTGTTTATTCTTATCAAATTGAGCACTCCTTTTTTAACTTGAATCTATAGAGACAGATTGTTCCAAAAATGTCAGATCAAACATAGTTATGGATCTGAGTCTACAAGAAATTTATTCCCTCTAAATTATCTTCATAAAACTTAACCAGTATAATGTTGTTCAAATCTGTATTGAATGAAAATGAAACCTCACGTGGTTCTGTTTGCTTTGGGCATGGCTTCACTGCTTTCTTGTTCAACATACTATAATGATGTTTGAATCTGTATTGAATGAAAATGAAGCCTCGCGTGGTTCAGTTTGCTTTGGGCATGGCTTCACTGCTATCTTGTTCAACTTACCATCCATGTTGTTAGGCTTCAAGTTGAGGCTAGCCCGAGCAGATCCTTTGATAATTGGTCTTATGATTGGTTTTGTCATTGTGTTTTGGTTTCATTACTTGTTAATGCCTCATGTTACTTCTTTTGAAGAGGCTTAAATATTATCATTTTCATAGTCATTATTAGGTTATCCAACAAATTGGGATATTCAATGGAGAAAAACTTCAATCTTTTAAAATTTGTTATCCATCATCTTCAATGCAGGCTTGGATTTCTTTAGTCAAGGTCCGCTGAAAGTGAAGGTACGCATGCTTCTAAAATGAAAATAATGGAAGTTTTCTCTTTATTATTATAAACTTTACTGTATTCATTAGTTGTTTGATTTTATCATTCAAGTGGTATGTGTGAAACAGTTTCTTTGCTTATGATACTGAATTAAAAGTTATGCATGCTCCTTGAACTTAAAGTACTAGATGATTTTGTATGCTATTAACTGCTAAAACGACTATTCATTGATTAGCTGCTCAACAGTTTTTCTAATTATGCGCTTAATTCTTTTTAGGCTCAAATCAATGTGTATCAGATAGTTATATTACCAAATTTCTTTAAGCATAGCTTGAGAAGTGAATCTTTGTTTGCACCTTGATCCCATAGTTGCTACCTTTAGCACTTGTGCCTACATTCATTTAAAATACAATTCTTTGTATTGAAGCAAGTTTCTTCACTTGAAAGTCCTATGATGCAACCTGTCTGGAAAGCTGTTGGAACTTCTTGTAATGAGAATAAAAACATAACTGATGAATGCATCACATCCCAGAACCTTCATTTGACATTAGGTATTTTCACTCAAAGATTTTTAATCCTCCACAATTTTGTCTGGTAATGTGGTTTGTACTAATTTTTTTTTCCTTTTGCACCCACAAGATTTTCGTGCCCAAAAACCAGCTCCTTCGTTTACTTCAGCTAATAGAATGTTGGGTTATGATAAAAATGCTGCTGCTGTATGGACAAGCGATGAAATAACAAAAAATACAAGTCTTCTTATCCCAAAATCTTTCAATGAAGTTGTGCATGTAGCAACAAAACCTCCTCTCTGTCAATCTCAAATTTATCAAAGAGGTACTTTTTTTTTTCAAAAAAATCTTCTTCATTCAATTTATTTACTAATTGCATTCCCTTCCTCTCTTTTATTTGACATGATTTCCATTCCTAGCAAAAGGTGATGGAACTCTAAACATTTAGTCTCTTTCAAAATAGTTGATGTGAGTTCTAAGCTCTGCACAATGACATTCTGAGTTTTGGTACAAGTGTTATTTTATTTTGCTTTCTACTTTTTTTGAGCCTAAGTTGCCAGTGAGGTTAGTTCCTACATGAATGGGTGATGAGGATCTTATTAAGATGCTTCTAGGATTTTTAAAGAGAAGATGAAAGGGTTAAGGTTGGTGGAAGGCCAAGTAAAAAAAGTTCATTAGTTTAGGGTTATAGGTAAATTTCTGATTTAAACGTTATGAAGATGGATGATTAGGCTTTTTCAATTGAATGGTGGTTTAGATGTTATGAATATTTTTGTGGATAGATCACATTAGATGTGCAACATGATTTATGTTTAGGTCAGTAGATTATCGGTCAATCCTTGAAGAGACTGAGGGATTTTCTTTAGGAATATGATGACGATGTGCGAGAACCAAATTAGAAAGGAAGAGAGATATGTTTGGGTTCTTAAAATTTAAATATAGTTTATTCAGAAATCTATTCAGAAGCTTGCAGCATACTAACATCTTTAGTTAAAATTTTTGTTAAGGGTTTTATTAAATCAATGGACTTATAAATAATAAATTAGATGCTGTAAAATATGGGAGGAATATACCACGAAATACTCTTTATTTTGGAAAATAAATAAACTACTCGAAGTCTATGTTGCACGAATTCAGACATGGGGACACATACACGACATGAAATGGACATGGGACACTTCTATTATTGAAATTATAGCATGTAACAGATAAGTGTCAGATACATCATTATAATAAAATTATTAAAAATTATATAAAGATTAAATAAACAAATATTAGGAATAATACAAAAGAGAAAAATAAGAAATTTAATAACATTAACTTTCAAAAACATTTAGTTAACAATTTTTTGCCCCCTATTCTAAGAACTATCTTATAGATTGAATTGTGTCCACTATTTATGGTTGATATTAGATATTTTTTACACCGTATAATATGCTTGCTTATGATGATTCAAGCATTACTTTAGATTTAGAGTATCTAATTTTTAAAATATAATAATTTAATTATTATTAATAATTTGCTATAATTTATAATTTATTTGATTTCATTTTATTAATAAATTTAGCAGTTGTTCGAAACCCTAGTTTGGGATCACAGATGAGAAATATTATACAATAAAGTGGCTAGGTTCCATTCTCATATGGGAAGACGTGATGAAATTAGAGGGAAAGTGACAAAAAAAGTCTTTTCGTCGAAAAGGGTTGGGTCAGGTCGGGTCGGGCCGCGGGATAAAAAAAATGGCGATTTTGTTTTTTAAAGGGTGGGATTGGCAACTACACGTGGCAGTTTTAATTGGAGTCCGGACACAGCTCTGCGTCCGGACTCCAGACCGAATAATTTTTCACCTCTTCTCACGATCGATCCTTGAATCAATTCCTCCTTATTATTAAGGCCCAAACCGACCTTCCCTGCCCTAGGCTCATACAGTCAAATTCCTTTGTGCTCTTCCCTCACATAACTCGAACCAACACATTAAATTGAGCTCAGCCTGATCATCTAAGCCCGCCCGAGCACCAAAATTAAGCTAATTTAGACCATTTTTTCTTATTTTGTATTAATTATTTTTGTGTATTGTAATAAAAAAAGAGAAAATGTGTTGTATTTTTATATTATCGTCAATGCTGTCAGTGACATCGAGGCTTGAAAGATATAAAAATGGGGTAATTGGGAAATTTTCAAAAATCTCTATTCAAGGAGAGAAAAGTACTCGTTATGCGGGGAAAAATGTTAACTCGTTTGAAGAATTCTTTTTAAAAAAATGAGGTATGTGCTTTCCTACAAGTACAAAATTGGGGCAATTGAGAAATTTACGAAATCAACCATTTGAGGATAGCAAAGTACCCATTAGGAGGGGATAATGTAAACTCGTTTGGAGAATTATTTTTAAAATCGAGGGGCTCTTTGTTTTGGTGCCCAGGCGGGCATAGATGATTGGGCTGCATAAAATTGATAGCCTTTCTGCATGTACATTGAAGCCTTGTTGCGTCTTTTGAGACAGCTGGATGAAAACTCTTTTTGCTCCCCGACCGTTGTCTTACAACACTGACCGACGATTCTTCTGAGATAGCCGGGAAGGTTGACACTCTCCTGTGCCCCCTACAGAGATTGACGCTGGGACGCTACCGAAATTCAAGGTGATTTGGACTTGTAATCAATTTAAAATTTTAAAATATTTGAGCTTATAAAACAACATAGAATTTGACTCATGCGAAGTGTTAAAATAATTAGGACTCGAACTTTTAAAATTTAGGCTCTTAAGCTCTTAGGGTTTTAAAAAATGATTTTAATTTATTAGAACTATATGAAAATATTGCACAAAATAGGACACAATGGAGAAAAAAGAATTCTTGTAGCCGACCCCACGTAGTGGGATTAAGGCTTTGTTGTTGTTGTTGTAGGGTCTTGAATATTGGGAACCTGAGGCTTTTAAATCATTAGGTTCTTCAGGTGTTAAAAGTTTTAAAATTATGGGCTTTTAAAATATAAATTTTAGAGCTTAAAAATATTAAAATTTTGTTTTTAAAATTTAAAGCTCATGAATTTGAAGATATTTTTAAAATTGAGCTCTTTAGACCCAAGTTCCTAGAGTTTAAAAATCAATTTAAAAATTGAGTTTTTTCGGACTTAGGCTCCTAGAGGGGCGAAGAATAATTCAAGAGCGGAGCATTTTGAAATTAATCGTCATTGCCACTGAATTCGCAACACTTCTACAAGAAAATAGAAGGCGGTGCATTTAAAGTTTAAAATCATAAAACTTTTGCACATGGTTTGAAAAACCGGATCGGACTCGACGATTCAACTGTGAACCGGGCATAGGTCTATTTTTGGCTGGCATAAAAACCTCTCCCGCATAGAACCGCCTTGGCGGTTAAACTAGTGAACCGGAGAACCGGCTTTGGATCTAAGGAATCATTCGGTTCACGAGCATTTACATACATAACCAATTTTATGTTTTTTACATATCTAACACCTAAACTTTATTTTTTACATTTATACCACTCAAATCACTCATATAACATGAAGAAAATTATTATTACAAAGAAAATCAATTTACGTACATACTACTCAATTTTATTTATTTACTTATCTAACACTTAAACTCTTTTTATTTTACATTTATACCACCAAATTTATGCATATCACATAAAATATATCATTATTTTAATTTTTAAAAAGTGAAATACATGTTTTCATTCATAGATAAAATGGTATGTTAAAATTGAATTTCATGTGTTAGCTATTTAATGAATTGAGTGAGATGTAAATGTAAATCTTATGTATTGTCATTTTTAAAAACATTTATGATTAGGTCATCCGGTTGAACTCCGATTTAACCTTCGAACCTTGAACCTCTCCTTTTACAAATTCAAGATTCGGTGAGGTTTCATAAACTTGCTTTTGCAAATATTTTCAATTCCAAGTAACTTAAAAATTTATAAGCTTCTTGGTTATTTCTTAAGTTAAATGCACCATCTTGAAATATGACCCAACACTTTTAAGACTTAGAAAGGTTTCACTTGAGATCTTTTGTAAAGTCCATATTAAGTTCATGACTTAAAACTCATGCAAGTCCTTAAACGTTATGAAAAGATATTCAAATATAAGAAAATTAAATGTTCAAATGTGCTGGAACAAAATTATTAAATGTTTAACTACGAGGTTGGAGAATGTTGTGTGAGCTAATCAGGCCGTCTTGTATATAGAATAGGTTTGTAAGTCTCACCCCACTAGTCCGATCATTTTTCTCATAAATACTCGAGTTGACGAGTTTAGTAAATTTGATATAAATATTCAAATTCTAAAAAAGAAAATTTACAAATTCAAATCATTTAGCCCCATCCTTCTACCTATAAGGATAATATTCGACAAGACTTATACCTTGAAAAGCTTAAAATAATAAAATTAAATGCCCCCCTTTAAATATAAAAACTTTAAATGTTCAATTCTCTGATGATGGCCATGTTGATTGAAGATTTCAATTAGAGAGGTCAATCTCTTAAATTAAGATTTTCAAAATAATCAAATTAAATTCAAGCTAAAATTCAATCACTTAAAAGCTAAAAGCAAATTTCATTCATCCTCTGCAATAGTTCGTTGAGGGTGACAAACTTCTAATTAACTTCAGCTCATAATGAGTGAATATCTTATCAAATGTATCAATATATTCACAATCAATGTAATTGCATGCCAGTAAGGACGTGACCCGAGTCCTCTGTCCGCATGGTGTTGTTGTCAAATGACACCACAAAATAGCAGTTACAACCAGAGCCTTCTGACCGATTGCTTGCTGCCAAATGATACTATTATATTATGATCACGACCGTAACCCATATGTTCCTCAACAGCTTTCTGTCATATGAGTTGTGAATCATAAGGGTACAATTGATTGACACAAAGTCTCGTTGTGTCTTAGCTACAAGGATCTCTTAGACATTGCAACCCATGGCTGCTGACTGGAATCTTTTTGTCAAGTTGGGTCTATTACCTCCTTTGAATAAGTAGATCAGAGACCATAACAACCTGAGATGAAGGAACCATGAAATCTTGATCAGGTTTTTTCTTCATTCCCTCACTAGCCACCTTAAACTTCAAGTGATAAATTCTGCAATTTTAATCATGTGTCTACTGTTATTATATGTTGAATACTCAAATATTAATGACTAACTTTAATCAAAAGTGTTCTCCCGTTATTGGGAAGAGTAATTAATCATAGGGTAAGCCCTATGGGAAACCTCACACCATATCAAAAATTCATCGTAAAATGAGGTCGAAATCTCTGGGCAGGGTCTTATCTATAATCCAATCTGTCTTCTGAAATTCGATCCTCCAAAGCTCTCTCAACAAACAAAAATAAAAATTAATTACAAAGAGTTGTTACGAGGACCGGTCGTTAATTTTTGGAGCCCACATCAAGTAGCTAATACAATTCAAAGTACAAGAGCTTAT